ACCCTAACCCACATGCCACAATTCTGTACAGTCATCTCGATGCCAGTGATAGTGGGACAACTGTTGTATTCTTCTATCATGCTGTAACCCTGAAACTCACCCTTACCCTAACCCTAACCCTCATACTATAATTCTGTACAGTCATCTTGATGCCAGTGATAGTGGGACAACTGTTGTATCCTTCTATCATGCTGTAACCCTGAAGCTAACCCTAACCCTAACCCTAACCCTCATGTTATAATTCTGTACAGTCATCTTGATGCCAGTGATAGTGGGACAACTGTTGTATTCTTCTATCATGCTGTAACCCTAACCCTAACCCTGATGTTATAATTCTGTACAGTCATCTTGATGCCAGTGATAGTTGGACAACTGTTGTATTCTTCTATCATGCTGTAACCATTACCCTAACCTTGATGTTATAATTCTGTACAGTCATCTTGATGCCAGTGATAGTGGGACAACTGTTGTATCCTTCTATCATGCTGTAACCCTAACCCTAACCCTAACCCTCATGCTATAATTCTGTACAGTCATCTCGATGCCAGTGATAGTGGGACAACTGTTGTATCCTTCTGTCATGCTGTAACCCTAAAACTAACCCTAACCCTCATGCTATAATTGTGTACAGTCATCTTGATGCCAGTGATAGTGGGACAACTGTTGTATCCTTCTATCATGCTGTAACCCTAAAACTAACCCTAACCCTCATGCTATAATTGTGTACAGTCATCTCGATGCCAGTGATAGTGGGACAACTGTTGTATTCTTCTATCATGCTGTAACCCTTACCCTAACCCTGATGTTATAATTCTGTACAGTCATCTTGATGACAGTGATAGTGGGACAACTGTTGTATTCTTCTATCATGCTGTAACCCTAAAACTAACCCTAACCCTCATGCTATAATTCTGTACAGTCATCTTGATGCCAGTGATAGTGGGACAACTGTTGTATCCTTCTGTCATGCTGTAACCCTAAAACTAACCCTAACCCTCATGCTATAATTGTGTACAGTCATCTTGATGCCAGTGATAGTTGGACAACTGTTGTATTCTTCTATCATGCTGTAACCCTAACCCTAACCCTGATGTTATAATTCTGTACAGTCATCTTGATGCCAGTGATAGTGGGACAACTGTTGTATTCTTCTATCATGCTGTAACCCTAACCCTAACCCTAACCCTCATGCTATCAATCTGTACAGTCATCTCGATGCCAGTGATAGTGGGACAACTGTTGTATCCTTCTATCATGCTGTAACCCTGAAGCTAACCCTAACCCTAACCCTAACCCTAACCCTCATACTATAATTCTGTACAGTCATCTTGATGCCGGTGATAGTGGGACAACTGTTGTATTCTTCTATCATGCTGTAACCCTAACCCTAACCCTAACCCACATGCCACAATTCTGTACAGTCATCTCGATGCCAGTGATAGTGGGACAACTGTTGTATTCTTCTATCATGCTGTAACCCTGAAACTCACCCTTACCCTAACCCTAACCCTCATGCTATAATTCTGTACAGTCATCTTGATGCCAGTGATAGTGGGACAACTGTTGTATCCTTCTATCATGCTGTAACCCTGAAGCTAACCCTAACCCTAACCCTAACCCTCATGTTATAATTGTGTACAGTCATCTTGATGCCAGTGATAGTGGGACAACTGTTGTATTCTTCTATCATGCTGTAACCCTAACCCTAACCCTGATGTTATAATTCTGTACAGTCATCTTGATGCCAGTGATAGTTGGACAACTGTTGTATTCTTCTATCATGCTGTAACCATTACCCTAACCTTGATGTTATAATTCTGTACAGTCATCTTGATGCCAGTGATAGTGGGACAACTGTTGTATCCTTCTATCATGCTGTAACCCTAACCCTAACCCTAACCCTCATGCTATAAATCTGTACAGTCATCTCGATGCCAGTGATAGTGGGACAACTGTTGTATCCTTCTGTCATGCTGTAACCCTAAAACTAACCCTAACCCTCATGCTATAATTGTGTACAGTCATCTTGATGCCAGTGATAGTGGGACAACTGTTGTATCCTTCTATCATGCTGTAACCCTAAAACTAACCCTAACCCTCATGCTATAATTGTGTACAGTCATCTCGATGCCAGTGATAGTGGGACAACTGTTGTATTCTTCTATCATGCTGTAACCCTAAAACTAACCCTTACCCTCATGCTATAATTCTGTACAGTCATCTTGATGCCAGTGATAGTTGGACAACTGTTGTATTCTTCTATCATGCTGTAACCCTTACCCTAACCCTGATGTTATAATTCTGTACAGTCATCTTGATGACAGTGATAGTGGGACAACTGTTGTATTCTTCTATCATGCTGTAACCCTAAAACTAACCCTAACCCTCATGCTATAATTCTGTACAGTCATCTTGATGCCAGTGATAGTGGGACAACTGTTGTATCCTTCTGTCATGCTGTAACCCTAAAACTAACCCTAACCCTCATGCTATAATTGTGTACAGTCATCTTGATGCCAGTGATAGTTGGACAACTGTTGTATTCTTCTATCATGCTGTAACCCTAACCCTAACCCTGATGTTATAATTCTGTACAGTCATCTTGATGCCAGTGATAGTGGGACAACTGTTGTATTCTTCTATCATGCTGTAACCCTAACCCTAACCCTAACCCTCATGCTATAAATCTGTACAGTCATCTCGATGCCAGTGATAGTGGGACAACTGTTGTATCCTTCTATCATGCTGTAACCCTGAAGCTAACCCTAACCCTAACCCTAACCCTAACCCTCATACTATAATTCTGTACAGTCATCTTGATGCCGGTGATAGTGGGACAACTGTTGTATTCTTCTATCATGCTGTAACCCTAACCCTAACCCTAACCCACATGCCACAATTCTGTACAGTCATCTCGATGCCAGTGATAGTGGGACAACTGTTGTATTCTTCTATCATGCTGTAACCCTGAAACTCACCCTTACCCTAACCCTAACCCTCATGCTATAATTCTGTACAGTCATCTTGATGCCAGTGATAGTGGGACAACTGTTGTATCCTTCTATCATGCTGTAACCCTGAAGCTAACCCTAACCCTAACCCTAACCCTCATGTTATAATTGTGTACAGTCATCTTGATGCCAGTGATAGTGGGACAACTGTTGTATTCTTCTATCATGCTGTAACCCTAACCCTAACCCTGATGTTATAATTCTGTACAGTCATCTTGATGCCAGTGATAGTGGGACAACTGTTGTATTCTTCTATCATGCTGTAACCCTAACCCTAACCCTCATGTTATAATTGTGTACAATCATCTTGATGCCAGTGATAGTGAGACAACTGTTGTATTCTTCTATCATGCTGTAACCCTGAAACTAACCCTAACCCTCATGTTATAATTGTGTACAATCATCTTGAAGCCAGTGATAGTGGGACAACTGTTGTATTCTTCTATCATGCTGTAACCCTAAAACTAACCCTAACCCTCATGCTATAATTGTGTACAATCATCTTGATGCCAGTGATAGTGGGACAACTGTTGTATTCTTCTATCATGCTGTAACCCTAACCCTAACCCTAACCCTCATGCTATAAATCTGTACAGTCATCTCGATGCCAGTGATAGTGGGACAACTGTTGTATCCTTCTATCATGCTGTAACCCTGAAGCTAACCCTAACCCTAACCCTAACCCTAACCCTCATACTATAATTCTGTACAGTCATCTTGATGCCGGTGATAGTGGGACAACTGTTGTATTCTTCTATCATGCTGTAACCCTAACCCTAACCCTAACCCTCATGTTATAATTCTGTACAGTCATCTTGATGCCAGTGATAGTGGGACAACTGTTGTTTTCTTCTATCATGCTGTAACCCTAACCCTAACCCTAACCCTCATGTTATAATTCTGTACAGTCATCTTGATGCCAGTGATAGTGGGACAACTGTTGTATTCTTCTATCATGCTGTAACCCTGAAACTCACCCTTACCCTAACCCTAACCCTCATGCTATAATTCTGTACAGTCATCTTGATGCCAGTGATAGTGGGACAACTGTTGTATCCTTCTATCATGCTGTAACCCTGAAGCTAACCCTAACCCTAACCCTAACCCTCATGTTATAATTGTGTACAGTCATCTTGATGCCAGTGATAGTGGGACAACTGTTGTATTCTTCTATCATGCTGTAACCCTAACCCTAACCCTCATGTTATAATTGTGTACAATCATCTTGATGCCAGTGATAGTGAGACAACTGTTGTATTCTTCTATCATGCTGTAACCCTGAAACTAACCCTAACCCTCATGTTATAATTGTGTACAATCATCTTGATGCCAGTGATAGTTGGACAACTGTTGTATTCTTCTATCATGCTATAACCCTAACCCTAACCCTAACCCTCATGCTATATGGCTGTACAGTCATCATCATAAGGGGACAACACTTGTACCCTGCTAGTGCATGGTTTGCTCACAGTTAGTGGGTGTCGGGCCTGAACTCAGCATGGTTGAGGATCTGAATCTATTATGCTGTGAGTTCTTTCTGCTGATCTTTTTCACGTCTACCACAACCATGCCACATTTCTACATCCCAAGCTTGTCAATGCAAATTTGATAGCCTTGAAATCACGCTAATTGACATGTTTATTAGAAGCATGTTTGGGTGAGTCACCAATCTGATCTTGTCTTTTACTTTCTCCACCACTATCATTTAGTGTCTCAACATGGTTACCACTGATAAAAAAGCAGCAATTTCACCTCATTCTTGTACGTCAAATGGCGATGCATCATGTTGACATACCCTTTGTAGTATTTTCTTGTGTAAATTGACGCCGGAATCAGTGACTGTCACAACTCCATGAACTGCTCCTCATCATCCTCGTGTGATCCCATATATATGTTGTGTATATATATAGTTGTCCATAACAACAACAACATCCTGATGCATGTTATACATCTTCCCCTCCCACTGAGTGTGTTTATCTACTGTTTCAGGTCCTCCCATCACAGATCCAGGTATGTAGACAATATAGGGGAACTACTACACTGATTGTTAGCTCAGTTCACCTCCACACAATATAGGTAAAAACTACTACACTGATTGTTAGCCCCAGTTGACCTCCACACAATATAGGTGAACTACTACACTGATTGTTAGCTCAGTTCACCTCCACACAATATAGGTGAACTACTACACTGATTGTTAGCTCAGTTCACCTCCACACAATATAGGGGAACTACTACACTGATTGTTAGCTCAGTTCACCTCCACACAATATAGGTGAACTACTACACTGATTGTTAGCTCAGTTCACCTCCACACAATATAGGTGAACTACTACACTGATTGTTAGCCCCAGTTGACCTCCACACAATATAGGTGAACTACTACACTGATTGTTAGCTCAGTTCACCTCCACACAATATAGGTGAACTACTACACTGATTGTTAGCTCAGTTCACCTCCACACAATATAGGTGAACTACTACACTGATTGTTAGCTCAGTTGACCTCCACACAATATAGGTGAACTACTACACTGATTGTTAGCTCAGTTCACCTCCACACAATATAGGTGAACTACTACACTGATTGTTAGCCCCAGTTGACCTCCACACAATATAGGTGAACTACTACACTGATTGTTAGCTCAGTTGACCTCCACACAATATAGGTGAACTACTACACTGATTGTTAGCCCCAGTTGACCTCCACACAATATAGGTGAACTACTACACTGATTGTTAGCTCAGTTCACCTCCACACAATATAGGTGAACTACTACACTGATTGTTAGCTCAGTTGACCTCCACACAATATAGGGGAACTACTACACTGATTGTTAGCTCAGTTCACCTCCACACAATATAGGTGAACTACTACACTGATTGTTAGCCCCAGTTGACCTCCACACAATATAGGTGAACTACTACACTGATTGTTAGCTCAGTTGACCTCCACACAATATAGGTGAACTACTACACTGATTGTTAGCTCAGTTGACCTCCACACAATATAGGGGAACTACTACACTGATTGTTAGCTCAGTTCACCTCCACACAATATAGGTGAACTACTACACTGATTGTTAGCCCCAGTTGACCTCCACACAATATAGGTGAACTACTACACTGATTGTTAGCTCAGTTGACCTCCACACAATATAGGTGAACTACTACACTGATTGTTAGCTCAGTTCACCTCCACACAATATAGGGGAACTACTACACTGATTGTTAGCTCAGTTCACCTCCACACAATATAGGGGAACTACTACACTGATTGTTAGCTCAGTTCACCTCCACACAATATAGGTGAACTACTACACTGATTGTTAGCTCAGTTCACCTCCACACAATATAGGTGAACTACTACACTGATTGTTAGCTCAGTTGACCTCCACACAATATAGGTGAACTACTACACTGATTGTTAGCTCAGTTGACCTCCACACAATATAGGTGAACTACTACACTGATTGTTAGCTCAGTTCACCTCCACACAATATAGGTGAACTACTACACTGATTGTTAGCTCAGTTGACCTCCACACAATATAGGTGAACTACTACACTGATTGTTAGCTCAGTTGACCTCCACACAATATAGGTGAACTACTACACTGATTGTTAGCCCAGTTGACCTCCACACAATATAGGTGAACTACTACACTGATTGTTAGCTCAGTTCACCTCCACACAATATAGGTGAACTACTACACTGATTGTTAGCTCAGTTCACCTCCACACAATATAGGTGAACTACTACACTGATTGTTAGCTCAGTTCACCTCCACACAATATAGGTGAACTACTACACTGATTGTTAGCTCAGTTGACCTCCACACAATATAGGTGAACTACTACACTGATTGTTAGCTCAGTTGACCTCCACACAATATAGGTGAACTACTACACTGATTGTTAGCTCAGTTCACCTCCACACAATATAGGTGAACTACTACACTGATTGTTAGCTCAGTTCACCTCCACACAATATAGGTGAACTACTACACTGATTGTTAGCTCAGTTCACCTCCACAGCTGTTACTTGGCGATCATCGAACATTGTCATAGTTATGTACGCCTCCCTCTCCACAACATCTGCACCAGGGATGCTTGTTGCAGCTTACAGAAGCTGTTCTTTGGATTAGTTCTTTCAAAATAGCTGCGATGAATCTGACTAGCATCAGAGATAGGATTGCGTTTACTAGTATATAAGTCAAGCAGCATACAGACATATTTTAAAGCCTGAATATGAAACAGGTTAAACAAGTCTTTCTGAACAAAACAAGACAGGTTGTCATTATTCATTCATGTGTTGCCATAATTGTTAAGGTATATGTGCCTGCTTTTTTTTAGTCTACAAGACTTAAAGTCATGGCCAATTGTCTGTCTGTTACATTTGTGACATCTCCACTGAAATTAAAAGGTCTATGCAGCTGAAACTCTGTAGGACTGATCCCAGCTGTGGTGTCTCTAAATGCACTTCACAGAGTTCCAGTAAGATGTTAAACAGTCCTGCCAAAGGTGGACATATTGAAATGTCATTTTTGGCCATAACTCAGCCATTTCTGCATGTATCATTATGAAACTGGATAGGCAACAAGTATGTTTTTAGAATTTTAATATGTTTTTGGCATATTAAGATTTTTGATCCACTTATGAGCTTTGACTTTAACGTACCCCTTTCTCTTGTGTTTTTCATATTTTCACTATATTTTCAACATCTCCTAAAACAACAAGGCCTGACACTGTGTATGAATGACCAAGCCATTTTGTCTCTAAAAGCTGCTCACAGAAGTCCAATCCGATTTTAAACAAGGTTGCCATGGTGGCATAATGTCATTGCAATCAAAGGGGCGTTGGGGTAGCCTAGTGGTTAAAGTGTTCGCTCGTCCTGCCAAAACCTGAGTTCGATTTCCCACATGGGTACAATGTGTGAAGCCCACTTCTTGTGTCTCTGCCGCAAAATTGCTGGAATATTGCTAAAAGTAGAGTAAAACCATACTCACTCACTTTGCAATAAAAAAAGCAGGACCACGGGAACTGTGACTGGTCAAGCTGTTAAAAATATCCAGCAAAAGCAATCAGCTGTACCAAAGTGCAATGCTTATAATTATTATTGTTTTAAATGTCTAGAGTAAAAACTGCAACTGAAATCACATGATACTGAAATATTTTATTCCTGCTAAAATAATTGTTTTAGATACAATTTCTACTGATCATTGCTTCAAAATTCTTTCAAGTTATTTTAATAGTATTTCTTGAATCACAGGTAGATGTAGGAGAAAATGGGTGTACGGCTGATTGCTATTTTCGGCTTAATCTCCTCGTATGAAACAATGTCTAGCAGAACAAGAGATACAATGTACATGGAATATGATCATGTCTGCTGATGTTTTATCACAAATTTCATAATTTTATTGACCAAGTTTGTCATTACATGTTTGTTCACCTGAACAGACACGTGTAGTTTTATACTGCACATAATACTTCCAAAATACTGCACACCTGGTATGTAGAGGGGTGCACACTATTGTCCGGAAAATACACCAATATGTTAAAAACAAATTTCTTTTTAATGTTTAGTCCAGTTATGAACTTTGACTTTCACATATCCCCATTTTTCTCGGCTCCACATTTAGAAAACCCATTAATGATTATCAATCGGACATCAATTGTTTCAAAATGTATTGACATTTTGCATAATTGAAATTTGCAGTGTTTCCTTACATGTATGTTGCATTTTTTGCAATATTATGAATTTTGACCTTGATTAAACCCTCACAACGTAATAGTTGGTGTCACCAAAGTGAAGATGCTGCTAAGGGCAATAAAACTCAAAGTAGGTGCAAAATTGGAAAATCCTACCTTTGACATCACTGCACATATGCAATATTCAAGAATATTTTTCTTCAAATAGTGACCAAAGAAACTTTTTAAATTAAGGAAAAACTGAAATATTTCCTAATAGCATACAAATATTTTAAATAAGTTTGCTGTGAAAAAAAGATATAGTTTCTTTCAGTTACAAATACGGTCAAGTCTCGTTAATCCGACACTCGTTAATCCGACAATCGGCTTTATCCAACACTAATGATAGGAACTGATTAAATCAGTGCTATTTAGACCCGTTAATCCCACAGTCTTGCACTCCGACTCCGACACACCAAATTTGCAACGAATTACCGAAATCACTCATTGATCAGTCTCGTTAATCCGACACAGTGATCAGCGTACTCCGTGGTCATCTGCCCACGAGTACACAGCCAGTGTTTTGATGCGAGACAAATCGGCTGGTAGCTGCATATTACAACCGATGCAGAGATAAACTTGCTTAACAATAAACAATTAATGCTTTAAATACAGGATTAATCACATGATTAGATTACCTCATTCTTATTAAAATCAGATACAAGTTCTCGCTACATCCCATTACAGGTCACAACATAACAACCTTTAGCAAACTATGACCGACCAATGAAATGACTAACAGGAAGTCAACGTTAGCCACTAAGAAAGTAGCTTTCTCAAGCTTTGCGGTACCAGTTTCAAACTGGCGACTTCCATTCCAGTCTATCCTTTTTAAATTATTTTGAATAAGTCATACAGTCTGTAACAGTTATTTTGTGCTAAGCTTTAGAGTTTGCATGATGAGAAAACATATTCCGCTAACAATGTAATATAACAATATGAATATTTCATTTTTCATTTTTTATTACTTGTTTGTATCGTTACCTATGGTGTAGTTGTCCGATTTTCAATCACGAACGTTGATACTACTTAATTTCGTTTATCTGACATTCTCGTTACTCCGACATAATCATATGCAACCAACGATGTTCTAACGGGACTTGACTGTACATCTTTGAAAAAAAATATTGAAATTCAGAAAACTAAAGTAAGGAACCAAATCACAATGCTTATTAAGAACACTGTTGGATAAAAGAAATATATTCCCTGATAATGACATGGGTTCTTATTGTTTAAAGGATCTCATGCAGTAGAACAGAT